ACGCACGCACACACTCGCCAATGAACTATACCACGGATTATAGACACTGGAAACGATTCGGTTCCCTTTCAGCAGTTTCAGGTACTCTTTAACTCTCTTTTCAAAGTTCTTTTCATCTTTCCCTCACGGTACTTGTTCGCTATCGGTCTCGCATCACCGACACCACTTCATCCATAAATCTATGTCCCGCGACCAAACTACTTAATCGACTCCACTTCTGGTGCTGACAGAGCTGCGCGCTTCAAACTGCAAAGTGTCCGGATAAGGTCCGGATATTGAGAGTGACGATCGGCAAAAATAAATCCGTGGCTATTTTTATAATACATGTAAATTACATGATGTAACTAGCCGAGCGCCGTCGCTTTGCGGCGGTGGGTCCGTGGTGGGTCTCAGGTGTGTAGACCACCCGCCTCCGCTTCGCTCCGGCGGGGGGGCTGAATTTTTTCTAATTTATCATGAAAATTTCAAAAGATGAAATGTCACTGTAAAACCGTGTTGTATTTAGGGTGAGGCCACATTATCACCCATGAAAGCCGCTGGCCTCCGCTTCGCTCCGGCAAGTCGAAGTTCTCTTCGTTTGTTAATGAAACAACGTGGAAAATACCCGTAGCTCGTACCGCTTAATGGCTAAGCGTTATTGCTTTGGTTTCGTACTCGCTCATACCCCCCCTACCCCCTCTTTCGTAGCTGCTAGCTATTTTGTGCTCTCAAGGGTTTACGTGAGCTCCACAGGTTTGTGGTCCATAATCATTCATGGTTCATGGCGTCCCATCACCAGTACCCTCGCCGATGGGTACTTTTCAGTAGCTGTGTTGATCTGTCGCACATGTATCGTGCGTTCCTGGTGTGAATTCATCGACCGCGTTATTTTGCTATGTGCAATCGCGGTGTTGCTATGCTAACCATGCTATTGCGAACTAAAAGCGTAAATCTGTCGACCATGGTATCAGGTCGTGCAATTGTGTTCCCTCGCGCTCTCCTGAAGCGTTTCCCCGTGAGTCCGACGTCCGCACTATCATATTGTACTGTAATAGCGTCCCCCGTGGCTCGGTGAGCTCAGTTCTTTACGGGTATCGTGCTCCGTGGCTCCGTTATTTCTCGTCTATAGCTTCCGTGACTGCGCGTTTTCCCATGCTTTATTAGTTGGGTCACCGTCCATACTATCGTGTTTTTCTTGTGGTGTCGAGATTTGTCTGTCGTCCGTTCCATCGTAGGCTACCGTAGTATCGCTCTCCGTGGCTCCGTGAGCTCCGGTTCTACCCTAGTATCGTATTTCAATGCTCTGTAATCTCCCGTTAATGTTCTTCCGCGAAATCATGCTTGGTTCGTCGACCTTGCTCCGTGGTCCACCGTGGTGCAACGGAATAATCCTTTTTTCGTGCGTTGTCACAGCTACGGGCTGTTTGTGGGTTCTTCCGTGGTCTGTACACCCGTCATACTCTTTTCCTCCCCATTTTTCAGGGTTGCACGCCCTTCCGTGGTTGGTGCATTTCAGAATCGTTTGGTGCCTTCATTGATTTAGTCCTCTGTCATTGTCCGTGACCATTCGTGCTTCGTGCCGTTTCTTCTATTCCTTCATGTAGATAGTGTTCCACCGTGTTTCGTGCTCTAGCTTAATCACGTACCTCCGCGCTAATTTAGTCACAGCTCCTGCTTCCAGCCTTGACGGTACGCTACGTATCGTGTTGGAAAAAGGGCACATGTTCTAATGGTCACACACTACGCGCGCAAATACAAAGAAAGACGATGTTTTTCGCGGCGGTGGAGTGGGGGTGTATGGTGGGAGGCCACTAAACACTTTTTTAGTAGTTAATATTAGTAATATAGCTGTGTAATTTTAACTAACGCTGGTATCATATAACTATCATGTGTAATCCTACAACAAATGATTGCAAGCAAATATTTAATTAAAAGAAATAAAATTGTACTCAACTTAACAATCTTGTAAATTAAACTACTATAAAATTACTTCGAAGCTTAAAACATATTTTTAAAAAAAGTACTGAAAGGACCTTTCAAGACTCTTAATGGGCCACCGGAGCCCACAATTGCTATTAACAGCTTGTGTAACCATACATTGCGTGTGTGCTGATCGGCGCGGCCTACTAATGCTAACTAACGCGTACACAGGCAGCGCCCTTTGAGTGAAGTGGCGCTCAGAGCTTGAAATGGGGGCAAAATAAACTTGAAGCGGTGCATTTAATTACGACAAATGTGAGCGCCACATAATGTCAGCTAAGCCCGTTACGGCTGCCTTCACTGCGCTCAGCAGCCAGTAGAAGGCATGTATTAGCGCTACCCTCGAACGGACTAACATACTTACAAATCGCTACATACGTTGCGTGGGGTTCCCGTTTGGCACTTGTCCCGCAATCGCACGCGCCCTTCGTGTCGCCGCCGCTCCGCTTTTTGAAATGGGGCGTAAAGAAAAAAAGCACAAATATAATTAGCCAATCAGCTGGCCGAAAAAGTATTCAGTAGTATTAATTTTTAAAATATGACTCAATTTCAGCCAGTGACCGGGGCCGCCTTCGCTTCACTTGACAGCTTTTTGTCCAGTGAGAGGTGCGAAATTGTGTTACGGGCCGAGTCACCGACAGACAGACACGTTAGTAAAGTAGTGTTTTGGACTAGTACCCTGGGCGCCTGCTCCGCGAGAACAAGGGCATGGTTTGTTGGTGTAAACAGAAACGACCACCTCTGCTGCGCTGGAATAGGCTATGATTCCTTACTCAAAGCAAAGCTACATATAATATATATTCCGTGTTCGACTACATTTGCTTCAAAGGCCACTGTACACATGCTCACATGTTCTGCCTCACCAACCACCTATCTCTTGCTTTTCCCGAAGTCAGTTCTGACAGCATCACATATAGCTATGCATATCTAGTACCTGGTTACTATAGTTGGATAGGCGTATAAAAGATCTAGCTCAGCTGAATATTGTTGATCGTCATGGCAAAGGTAGACATGACTCTAATTGGTTACAAAGGTGAAGGTTTCTTCGCTACCACCAGGGTTTAAAGTGATCTGCAAGATGAGCTTCATTTTACCCTGGAAGATAAATGTCTTAATTCTCAATTGAGTACACCTTATAGTCACCCGCGACTTAACCGAGCTCTCAGCTCTTCCATTATGGACATGGAGCGGAGGGTACACCTTATAGTCACTCGCAACTTAACCGAGCTCTTAGCTCTTCCATTATGGACATGGAGGTAGCGTATAGTACTGCGTACAGTACCACGCACACCTGGTCAGCACTACCGCACACGTCCCACGTCTATGTAGACAGCAACTTATTTTTCGCGCGTACTGCTCACTCAATACTATGTTTCCAATTGCGAGCGCTTTAGTGTGATATACGCTATGAGCGTTGGTGGTACATATAGCATGATTTAGCTTGTGTCCAAATGAGTGAGTGTACTTGCCGTCTACGGCAACGCGTATGTAGATAGGGACGGCCAGCTTGCAGAGGCACATAGTAGATACCGTGCGCTAATAATAAGATGAAACGCGCTACGCTCTGTGGGTGCTTTAACACTATTGACAGCTCCATAGTCAGTTTACCGTGTTTGCGGCTCCAAGCCTCGCACCGTCAGCCAGTATACTAAATACAAAGATAGGTAGGAAAATGGGAGCCTAAAATAGTATATTTACCAACTACTTGCTATTCTGCAGCTCCTTTTGCTCGATGTACTTGGCGTTTCGAACGGTCAGCTTGCGAGTGCGGCTGTGTCTCTTTTTCTTCTTAGGGTACCAGTCAGGGCCCATCGCCTTCTTGACGTTTGACAGGCTTTCCTGCCGGCGCACTTCGGTCGAATCAGGTGGGGGGGGGCTTTACCTCCCAGAACTCAACCGCTTTTGGGCCGTTCTCGCAGGCCATTCAGCGCCGCGCGATGTCCCGCCCGCTGATTGTACGGAATGCGTAGCCGCACTGCTGCTTTCCGTAGCGTTTCCGCAGCGCGCCCGGGAATCCGTCGAAGACCGCTGCGGGTTCAGCAGAAGCGGGTCAATCTTTACCTTGCATTGCTTGTACATAGGACCCACCATTTTGCAAACTGTGAGTAAGCTAACAAAAGTTTTGTTTTAACCCATTTATGTGCGTCAAAAGATTAGCTAATAGCACGGTAATATAAGACTAATATTTATTATGAAGCAAAATGTTAAAACGTTTTATTATATTACTTTTTTGCTTTGCTTTAATAATAATATAATCAGATTTCCAAACAAATACATACTTTACATGCAGTAAAAGTTACTAAAACAATTATCAACCGTGCGCGCATGCATTCGTCGGGTGCGGTGCACGGGAGCAGATAGCGCAATGACTGTAAAGCCGTGCGCTTTCATTGCACGGTGGCAGTGGTGAGTGCCAGGTAAAGTAAAGTAAGAAACATATTCGCAAAGTCCCTACAAAAACGCTGGTTAGTGAGCCCGATTTGATGTACATAGGACAGGTTTTGCGTAGCTAAATGTAAATATCGAATTGTCAGCACTAAGCGCTTATGTGTATGCTTCCAACCGATGCGTTTCGTGATCGGCAGAAATGTTTACCTCACGTTTAATCGCGAAGGCGAGAGGCGGTCTGATCGTGCGACAGATCCAGTCAGTGTCGCAGGTCGGCAGGTATTGCCCAATCAGGGTGCGAGCTAATTGTGTGACGCTTTTGGATATATTTGTAATTCTCGCATAGCTAGGTCGAGTCAGAAAGATAGGCGCGGTCGGTAAGATGAAACGAATCTGTATTAGCCAGGCCAAGTGTGGCCGCAGATCAAAGCAGGAAGACAGGGAGTGCGACGGACGGATTGGCGGACAGACAGACAGATAGACAGACAGACAGACAGACACACAGACACACACACACACACAGACACACACACACACGCAATACAAGGTTTGGTGGCGGTAACCAGCGCTCTGGGCGCTCCCGTGCGGAGGGATGCCGGAAAACTTTAGAGAGTTCAAGATCTCCTGCTCATTCATATTTGCATCCGCGACCCCTTCGAGGCTGTCCACCGAGAGATACCCCTTCGTTTCACCTGACAGCCGTTCCGCAACCATTTCGTTGATACGCCGAGCACTTGCATTTGTGGGGGCTAGTTTGGCTCGCTCAACGAAGTATTTATCGGGTAAATTCTCAGTATCAATGCCCG